CGAATAGCGTCATTACGAGAGATTGCTGTATTTCTCTCGAGAAATTACAAATGCCAATTGTATGGTAACACTCATGAGAGCTGATAAGTTTGAGATTGCGGGACATCATAACTTCATATCACTGACACCGTTTTCTGTATGTAAGTAATTCAATTCCGGTAGAGTTATTGGCTCACGAGGTGGTCGAATCAGCAAGCAGCTTCCTGATGAATTATAGATCGCCAACCGCGGCATTGAAAAGTGAATTATTATGACGAGGAATGTCGGGAAGACAGTTTCATTTTTAAAATACATCCTTGATAATTCACCAAACAACAGAAGTAATGTAATATATTTGATTGATTTTCTATAGGTATTTTATGGAAATCAATATAGATTTGTAAATAAAATTAGACCAATTTGTATCCGGCCAACTTCACCGGTCAACAAACATCAGTTTAGAATAAGTGTGAATGTATTAGAATGTTCTTCAATGTTTGTAACGCTGCCCTCAGCAAGAATTCTCTTGAATTTTAGAAAATACCACAAATGGCGCGGTAAACGCCATCTGTAGCACGATGGTACATTTTAGGATTACGTATGCTTCAACAAGGTCCACTATCTATCTAATACAGACCACTTCGAATTATTTAATTCTCTTGAATGTCTAGGATTGCGCTCAGGTGGGACGTCCTGATTCATAAGAGTCAAGAACGTTCTGGAATGTTCAAGAACCATTATGTATAAGTGGTGTGTGTGGATGGCTTTTGCCACTGTAATAGGGCATTTTACAAAATGTTCTAAAAATTGTTGAAGGTTTGTCCAGTAAAACTGCCGTTCGGCTTCCAAACATTCGTGTAGAATAAGTGAGAATGTACCTATTAGAATGCTCTTTAATGTTATTAGGGTAATCTTCAGTTAGAATATTCTCGAATATGTAGGTCTGTCTTGAAGTAGAATCTTCTAGAGTGAACTAGACCGGAAAAATAGAGAACGTTCTCGAATGATCGAGGATCATTGTATATGAGTAGTGTGGATGACTTTTGACACTGTAATAGGGCATTTTACAAAATGCTCTAAAAATTGTAGAAGGTGTATCTAGATTGTTGTGTGGTAATAAAACTGCGGGTAGGCTACCAAACTCTCGATTAGAATAAGTGAGGATGTACTTAGAATGTTTATAGGGTAGTCCTCAGTAAGAATGTTCTTGAATATCTAATTCTGTCTTGAAGTAGAATCTTTTAGAGTAAATGGACTGGTAAAATAGAGAACGTTCACGAATGGTCGAAGAGTTGGGTTCTTATACTAAATGAAGTCATTTTCATAATGTTTGAAATTTCCCGTATCAGAAATGTTTACAGTCTGATATGCCAGGTTTAGAATAATAAGTGGGAATGTAAACCCAGATAAACGCGTTGTCGTTACATAGTAATTATTAAAAGAAGTTAAAATTTTTCAGTAAAAGTTTTTGTTTTGTTACAAATACAAAACAGAATCCATAACAATTTAATTGTTCTACTACAATACGTTGAAAATTTTGAAAAAAACGAATAACAAATACTACCACATTAGTCCCACGAAAGGATTGAATCTCCTCATCGGGTTTGTTAATGCGGCATTCTTCTCTCTTCTTATGTAATTTAATTCTGACGCTTAAGTGCGTACACCTCGGGCGATTAAATGATATATCCGTGAAAATTCGTTCGCTTAAATTTCCTTTTGAGAATGAACTTCTTAGGCAAGTAAGTGATGCCTGAGTGAAAGCATCCGTCGTCCTTTGTCTCCAAAATTTCATTCCGGTCTTTTGGCGGAGCTTCTCGTGCGATAGCCTAACATTACGTTGGAATTTAAGTAAAACTCATGAGTTCCGGATTTCCATAAGCCGACTACCGATAGCTGAGGTGTAAGCCAGCCAGAAATTCCGTTGCAATATTCATTCGAATAGTGCAAATTCGACGATAGAACAATTGAATGTGTGGGTAAATATGTTTGCAGCAACTTAAGTGATCTCTCAGTTGTCTTAAACTGGAAAACTATATGTATGTACTTTCTGCAATGGATATACAAAGTGTCGTAAGAAATAATTTCAGACAGAAGCAGAGAGAGCTTTAGGAGTAAAAATTTATAAATAGGCTTTGAAATACAAGAAAAAAATGTCGATAATTCTCTATATAAGCTTAATAAACATATAGTTTTAATGATTTTTAATATATAATTTGTTAATTTGCCATCATCATCATAAGGTCATCAGTCATAAGACTGGTTAGACACGTACCTCCACTGTTTCCTATCCTGAGCTAAACTTCGCATTTCCATAAAACTAGAACAGCCCACATCCTTAACTATTTGCGAAGAGTAATCTAATCTAGGTCTACCTCTACCCCTCCTAACTCCTGTTTCTGTCTCTAATATGTCTCTGACTAGACCTTCATGTCTGAGAAGGTGGCCTACCAACCTATCTCGCCCATTTTTTTTTATTGACTTCCATAGGGTCCTCTGTTCTCCTATTCTTTCCAATACCTCTTCATTTCTAACCTTTTCTACCCACGATGTCCTCATCATCCGCCTATAACACCACATTTCGAACGCTTCTAACCTTTTCTTTTCCGCCGCACCCACTGTCCATGTTTCGCACCCGTACAAGGCCGTGCTCCAAACATACACCTTTAACAACCTTTTTCGAATTTCTAAATTAATCGTTCGCGAGCATAGAAGTGACTTCTTTTTATTAAAGGCGACACGACCCTGCGCTATCCTCTGCTTTATATCCCTACTACTCCTTCCATCCTGACTTATCTGACTTCCTAGGTATCTAAAATCAGCCACATCTTCTAAATTTTCGTCTCCTACCGTTATATTCGCTCTTTCCCAACTTTTTCTTCCCTTGCATACCAGTATTTTAGTTTTACATTTATTTATTTTCATACAGTACTGATCTGTCAGTACCGCTTCCATTTTATTTAAAGCTATCTCTAGGTCTGTTAATTTGTAAGAAAATAATTTTTGGAAAATGTTAATATCACTGATGTTTAATTGGCTCAAGATGATATTTTAAAACTGTTCATCAATCATGTAATGGATTGCATTATTCAATTCGATATTAATTAGAATTATTTTGTACGAAGGCGTCACTCATTTTTTGACTTTTGTAGACACTTTTATTATTTGACTTTACAAATGCATGTTTAGTATTTATACAATTTGTAATGCAAATATGTGAATTCGACTTGGACGAAATTCATTTACTTTTATAATTAATTTCATTTATTTATGGAAACTTCCATTATAATAAAACTTGAATGGAGGGATTTGTGATCTGTTTTCTCACAAGTTTATTCCAAATTAGTTTCTCCCCTCTTATACAAAATTATCTTGCCAGATAAAATAAACATCACGGGAAGAGGCGTTTGTTTTGAATTTGAAGCAGTTACAAAAGTCGTCGTGAGCTTCTTTACCTTTTATTACCACAGTACGGCACCTTAACAGCCATTGAGAAAATAATGTGAGGATATGGTATATAAAATATTACCTCCATCAACCGAAAACAGTCTAAAACGGTCCTGTGATGTTTGATATTTTTTTCTTAATGTCAAAATGAATCATATAACGAAACGGTAAAAACCCTTCTGTGTTTTTAGGGTTGAAAAATATGTACAATCGTGTAGCAAATTACAGTTGAAAACAGTTCTTTTTTAATAGGGTTTGCTAAGGAAATGGAGCTAAAATCCTTATAGAAGCTATTCGAATGTATTAACTGTCAAAATAATCAGTTAATTACTTTACGTTTCCTTAATGACACATGATCCCTCGCAATAACAATTTTACATCCTGTATAGTTACAGAACAACGCATTATAAATGAATTTTACACCTTAGGGTAGGTACTACGCCTACTTACGGAGAGCTCAAAAATGGTTGGTAAGTACGAAGTATTTGAAATAGAATGAAATGCAATTCGGGTTTATACAAAATATAAAAACTGCTATATACAGCAAAGAGGTCAGTGGGGTGGTAGGTACTCTCCCTCATATCATTTCACTGATAATATCCTAAAATGTGGCATCGTGCTGCAGATGGCGTTTACTGCGCCATTTGTAGTATTTTCTAAAACGCACTGTTAAGACAGCAGGTAAAAGTTGGTCTGTGTTCTGTCGGAGCTGTCTGCGACGCGCTGATGAGATCCAAAAAGATCGAAATAGCGATCCGCAGTTTCAACAGAACAGACCACTTCGAATTATTTTATAAAGGGATACTTGTTTAAACTTTCTGGAATAATCATAGGAAACGTTTCCTTTTAGGAGGAATGAAGTCTTTTTGGGAGGAAAGTTTTAAATACTCATATATATACTTAATGAAAGTATTGCATAGGATTGGGTGAAAAAATCGGTAAAGTTTTATTTTCTTGTTGGGCATTTTAAAACAGGAAATAGAATTGCTGTCAGGCATACTTTTACATTAAAATTTACCTAAATGGTTCGATCACTGAACCGTTTTCATTTATATTTCTCGGACCATTGTTTTTCTATATTTGTTTGTATCTTCCATTCATTCGCACACTTTTTTTCGCTATAAACTTTAAGCTTCTTTAAAATACACAATAAAATATGTCAAAATTGTAATTTAGATGTTACTGTTATGCGTATTACATACAAATCTATTTTACTAAAAGCTTAACAATGTATACGAGTGTTAAGGGGATATAGAACTATAGAAGTAATTGCTTTACTTTATATTTGTCGTTTTCAATTTTATGAGTCTTGATACATGAAAAGCCTCTTCACTTGAATCATATTGTGCTTAAACTGTGGGTTAAATTTCTATTTACATCTCTTTACTCTGTTTCTTGTTTACGAAAAGTAATCACATCAATTTATTTTAAATTTTCCAACATTATCAATATGAACATTTCGTAATAAAAATATTTCGTTGTAAGAATACGTACTGGGCTCTATTTATCTAAGAAATAAAAAGTCTTAAGAACAAAAGCTATCTAAACACATGGAAAATGCTTAAAGTACTTACCCGAAGAAAAGTAAGTGCTTTCTCTTTTTCTTCCAAATATCTGTAAAAGAAAAAAATAACGCATTTTATATAGGAAACAGAAAGTAGATACACTATTATGTTCTTAAAACTAAAACGAGTACAGACACACTTCAAAAATAACTAAAATAGGAAGGCAGCTTCAAGAAAAATTAGTATCAACTTTCTATATGTGTAGTTCGCGGTTGAACCAAAGATGTTAAAAAGACAGGTAACAGTGGAAATTCTATTAATCACTCATTTAATAAATATGATTAGGTTGAATTGCAAAACTATGGGCATTTTGATATTAGATCAATTTGATTGAGTATGATGAATTAATGTGTAATGTATAATAATAATCTTACTTTTCCAAACGTTTCGCCGTTCTTTGCTGACGGCTTCTTCAGTGGTGAATCGTAACTGATCAGCACCTGACCAGTCGAAACGAAAGTAGGAAATCCTGCATAACAAACGATATTGTGGGACTAACAGAAAAAAGGCAGAAATAACAAAAACAAGACAGAGGAAATAGATTAAAAAAGATATAAGGCGATAAAGTTGAAAATAACTAGGAAGCGTAGGACAGCTAAGGAACAGTAGATTGAAGTAGAAGAAAAGTTTGAAGTAGATAAAACGGATGAGGATTATGATTTAATTAAAGGAAAAAATTAAATTTATATAACTTTTTCTGGTGAGCGTAGGTGTATCAGATGTTTTAGACATCAGAATAAATTTTAAAAGAAATTATTTCTTTATTTCGTGAATCAAGTTTTTATGAAAGTCGATTAAAACAAAACGAAGGGAAGATCTACAGTGTTGACTGAACTTTCTTGAAGCATAAAAAAAATAATTGGTTATTAAACCTTATGAAATTGGGTATGCTTCAGGAAAAGGTCAAAGGAGTCACGGGTGCAAAACATTAGATAGGTACATACACAGCTTGTTCAAAACTTATTTATTATTAATTATAATATCAATCATAAATAAAAACAAATATTATTTTTCAATGAAAAGAAGTCACTTATATGTTAATGAACGGCTAATTTAGAAATTTGAAAAAGATT